CCCCCCCCCACCCCCCCGTGGCCCCCCCCCCCTCTCCGTCCTCCAGATGCCCCTTGCCCACCCCCCCCCGGGTCAACCCCCCCCCCCCCCCCACCCGTCGACCACCCCCTCGGGACTATATCCATCCCCCCCCCCCCCGGCTGGACCCTTCCCCCCCCCGTGGCGTCGCCCCCCCCCAGTCCCCCTCGCCCCCCCGAAACCCCCCCCCCCCCCCCCCCCCCCTTGAGGAACACACGCTTTGGGCTTTCACCCCAAGCCTCCCTTAGTATCAGGAGTTAGTCTCTGGGACAAGCTCGAAACTTACCAAATATGGAATGTCCTTAGATTGCGAATTTGGACACGGGACGAACACCATCGTGTTCAAGCCGATCTCTACATTCCGTAGATATGCCAAATGAGCAAATCTAGACACTTTCCATAAATAGCATTTGGGACCGAAATGAGACTAACACAAAGGGCATGATAGCAAGGGTGTTTGGCAGACACGGTAAGTTATCATGTAGCAATATTGAGGGACTAATCTCAATACGCGAGGGTTCTTGTCAAGCTAGTGCAAGACAGACCAAAAGAGAACTAAAAGCCAGGCTGAGTATGCTCAGCTAGAAACACATAGGAGTTCCTACCTTATGTCCATTTGGCTAAGTACAGGTGTTAAGCCCAGTTTACTAACACTTGAACAAGAGGGACTAATAAAGGGTCCAGCAATACCGACCTCCTGCCATCGTGGCAGTAAGGTAAGAGTGTCCGTAAGGACTAGTCGACAGGTAACTTTCGATACCCGAAGTCACATTCGCGACAGACTATCCTCAACCAAAATATTCAGATCACCATCGGCCAACTGCTGAAGATTGCACCCTACCTCACCAAACAGCTCACCGATCTAACATCTGCACAGACCAACACTTTGACAGACTCGCCCACACTCAACTCGACACAGACAGCTGTTGACACATTTCGAACCGAGATTCAACCAGGCGATTGTGACAATGATGTTCTGACAATTGACCTACGACTCGACAAACACCTTGTTCGAGGAGCCATAATTGACGGCGGCTCTAGCGTTAATATTATTGAAGAAAGTCTTGTTCAACAACTCAACATCGGCCCAGTCCACCCAGCACCTTTCAATGTCCGAATGGCCGACCACCGATCTATTCAACCCAAAGGCATCATCCGAAAAGTCAACCCCACCATTCAAGGCACTGAAATACCAGTCAACTATGTCATCCTCAAACTACCAGAGCAGACCAATGGATACTCAATTTTCCTCGGTTGACCTTGGCTCCGAACTGCCCAAGTTTATCAAGATTGGCCCAATGACAATCTTATCCTTTGCAGACCAGACAGACCGACAACTGTGTTGACAAAAGCGACCAAATCGCTGTCCAGCCAAAACCAACCTATTGACTTGGAAGAATATAATCTCGAAGATGGCCTCAACGACTATGAAGAACAACAAATTCTCAAAGCCTACCCCGATCTCGAACCTTTGGCCGAGATCGACCTCTTCCGAATTGTCACCGACTTCCAATGAGAACGACCCCTGATTACATCAGCACTGAAAAATCCAGTCACTCGAGATACAAAACTCGAAGCGCCACCGGCATTCACAGTCGACAACCACAACAAAGTTGCCTACATTCCATCAATTCCAGCCGACCAAAAACTCGAAAAATTCAGCCTTGGCGATGACGGCAACGAACACTACATTGTACTCGCCACCGACATCTCGGCAAGTTTTTGAGACAAAGGCATCAATCTTCTCCGAAAGAAGAAACACTTGTTCGCTTGGAGTTATCGTGACCTTAAGGGAATTTTGCCAAAACTCAGCCTTCACACCATCACCCTTCTTCCATACTCAAAACCAAGAAGACAAGCAGCCTATCGGATGAATCCAAATCTGATGGAACAAGTAAAGAAAGAACTCGACAAGCTTCTCCAAGTCGAGTACATCTACTCGATTCAGAATCTGATATGGCTTTCACCATTGGTGGTTGTGCCGAAGAAAAATGGCAAACTTCGAATCTGCGTCAACTATAAACACCTCAACGACGCCACTGAAAAAGATGTTTTCCCGATACCGTTTACCAATGAAGTTCTTGACGTAGTCTCCGGACACGAGATGTACTCCTTCCTCGATGGTTTCTCTGGCTACAACCAAATTTACATTGCCGAAGAAGATCAGCACAAGACAGCATTCATCAGTCCATGGGGAGCCTATGCTTACCGACGAATGCCTTTTGGACTCTACAACGCCCCATTCACCTTCCAAAGGCTCGTCACCAACACTTTCCGAGAATACCTCACCGACTTCATGAGAGTCTTCATGGACGACTTCAGCGTTTTCAGCTCGGAAGATCGACATCTTGAATGCCTGGAGAAATGCCTCAACAAGTGCGAGGAGAACAAAGACATAGCACTCAACCCCGACAAAGAACTTCAGCGCTTCCTCGGCAAAGTCGGATATCACCGACGATTCATCCACAAGTACGCTCACATTGCCAAACCACTCACCAATGGATTGAAGCAAGATGCCCAATGGACATGGACATTTGAACAGCAACAAGCATTCGACAATCTCCGACTCAAACTAACAACAGCATCAATCCTTTCCAAGCCCAACTGGACACAAGAGTTCCACATTCATGTCGACACTTCCGACATTGTCACTAGTGCAATTCTCAGCCAAACTCAACACAACAACCGAGATCAACCAATCTACTACGCCAGCTGACTACTCAACCCAGCTGAATGAAATTACACCACCACCAAGAAAGAAGCTCTTGGCATGATCTACTCACTTCAAAAGTTCCAACACTACATACTGTCAACCAACACCGATTACTGCCAAAAACCTCAAACTCAACAACTCAACCCAACATTCCCAATGGCACCATTTCAGAAATAAGGACTTGACTTCGTCGGACCCCAAGTCAGCACCCATCAACGAAATCAGTACATCATCGTCACCACCGAATACACTACCAAGTGGGCCGAAGCAATACCTCTCCAATATGCCACAGCGAAAGCAACAGCAACATGCAGTTCGAGAAAGGCTTCAGCAACTCGAACATCTCGACGAACTCCGACTCAACGCCCTCTGGACACTTCACGCCGTCCAAAAACAGAGAAAAGCTTGGCACGACCGACAAGCATCCCGGTATAACATTCCCAAATACAGCGTCGACGATCATGTTCTCTGATACCAAGGCCCATCGGCAAACTTGGCCAAAAACTCCACACCAAATGGCAAGGACCTTTCAAAATCATTGAACTATACCCCAACGGCACCGCCAAAGTCAGCACACTCACTGAAGACTTCATTGAGATCGTCAATCTCAACAAGCTTCAACCATATCACATCTACATATTCAGCATCAGCACCTCAGCAAATTTCCGACCCAAACTGACAAACACCCCAAAACCAACAATCGACACTCACCCCAGCAGACAAACTTTAACTCAAATCAGTTCGACACAACTCAACTCAACTCAACACGAACTCATCCACCAACTTCAGCAATAAACAGCAGCAAAAATCTCTAAGTACCAAGCTACTGTTGGATCAACGCCACCTGAGCAAATATCAATAGTTGAACTTGAGTTAACTTCATCAGCAATATCCACCATTGATCTGCAATCAAGCCAAATCAAACCACATCAATTCCGTCAACAAATCTCTACCATTCATCACCAACAATCGAGCACCACACAATCAGCCAACCAACAGTTACAGGTTTCAAGAACCCTAACGGGGCGAGCACTTCGACCACAGAAAATGAAGAGAAAGATGCCAGCTCATCCACCCCAGCACCTCAGATACGTCATACACCATATTCCTAGGCTTCCCAGCAACGACACAACCACCTGGCTCAAGGGCCATGGATTTGAGCTCCTCCACAAGGCCTTTTCAACACACCCTGATCAAAAACTAGCGAGGAAGCTGGCCACCTCCTTCAACCCCAAGAACGGCACCATAACCGACGGCACCAACGAAATCACCCTCAGCCCAGCAAGAATCGCCTCCGTTTTCAAAATCTCCAACAAGGGACTGCTCAAATTTTCAGGAGAAGTTCCACAGCAAATCATCAAGGCCAATCGAGAAATTACCGGTGAGCTCACATGGGAGGACATCGAGGAACAGCATATGGATCGCCTCAAAGCCCTCCTCCTCTACTACGAACTTCGCCCAATAGATTGCACCATTGGCAAGTGCAGAGTAGAAGTCTACAGAGCTCTACTTGACGGCAAACGTGTGAACATGGCTCATCATCTCCATGAGCTCCTTCTCAAGCTTCTCGACTGCGCCATCCTCGCCACACTCAAAAAAAAGACCATGTGGACAGTAATATTCCCACTGCTAATCGCTCTACACCAAGCTCTTCCCAACAAACATCCGTGGACAACCCAAATAAACTCCACAGAACAAAGTGACAGCTCCGAAGAACAGTCAGAATCAAAAGGAGCAACTCCCAACAAGAAACCGAAGCCAACATCTCAACAATCAGGCTCAACTCACTCCAACAACACCAGCTCCAGCAACAAACACTCCAACAATTCAACTCCACTTCGCCACCACCGCTGATCTAAGAGCACCTCATCATCAGCGACAATGAAGATAACTCACACCACCATCCACACTCACCCCAGAGCCCGCATCCACTTGAATCAGCCCATGGTTGATCCCGACTGCGTTCGGCCGAAACCCTGACTGCCGCCGAACGCGGTCGGCCGAACACGGTCGGATAGGTCCGTTCGGTGATTCCGTTCGGCAAAAAAAATGGTGATCGTGCTAGATTTCTGATGCTGCTGCAGCGAGGAGGGCATAGGAGCTGCGTGCGTACCTGCCTCTGCTTTCGATTGAGCGTGGAGCAGCGCTGAGGCCTCGCAAATCAAATCGCCCAGTCCGCGACGCTTGAAGTTTTTGCCCTAAAATAGAAATTCAGTGATTCCAGAGATTTGATTGTAGAGATTTGTAGCGATTCTGGCACAATTGAGCGATGGTGCCCGATTGGGCATGGTCCCATGTTACCAAGCTCACTCCTTATGCTTCCGGCAAAGGAGCTGGGCGTTGGAAATGTAATTATTGTGGTAAAATGTATGGTGGTCCGCCGAAACGCATCAAGGCGCATCTTGCTAAAGTTTCTGGGCATGATATTGAAGCATGTAGTGCTTCAAACATTCCTCTTCATGTTCAGAACGAAGCTTGCCAAATGTTTGTGGAGCAAATCGCAAATGCCCCTTTGTCTTTACCTTCTGTAGCAAATCTACAGAGTAGGCATTTTGATGGGGCATCTTCTTCTGGAGCTGGTACACAAAGTGTTAGTCAATCTCAACCTATGAGTGCTTCTATAGTGTAAGCAACCAAAGAGAACGACTCGAGAGACGATCCATGGGGTTCAAATATAGAGGGAAAGGGCCCATGAACAAGAGTGCACCCCCTTTTCCAATCAGTTAAGGGTCTTGGGATATTTGGGGTTAAGCGTCCTTGGGTTTGAATAGTACTGGGCTGGGTGACCTCCTGGGAAGTCCAAACTCAGGAGCTTACATATAGGCCATGAGGGATCATTTGTTGGTCGAAAGCAAATGCAAGATGGCAATATTGAGGAAATGCTTGATGATGCAAGAAACATGAACTTAGATGATGCAATATCAAAGTTCATTTTCTTGAATGCTATACCATTTAATGTTGTGAAAAGCCCATATTTTCATGCAATGATCGCAGCCGCTTGTAGTGCTGGACCTAGTGCTGCATCGAGGATTCTTGGTTACAAGAAGCTTCGTACTATTCAGCTCACTCGTCACTATACTTTAATCAAGGAGAAGTTAGCTCCCTTTCGTGATGGATGGACTCAGTTTGGATGTACAATAATGACTAATGGATGGTCTGATATAAAGAGCAGATCATTCATAAATTTCATGGTTACCTCTATCCATAGCTCAGTATTTTGGCAGGGTGTTGACACCAAAGGAGAAGAGAAGACTGGTCTTTGGCTTTGGGAGCAACTTAGACCCATCATTTTGGATGTTGGTGTTGAAAATGTTGTTCAAGTCATCACTAATAATGCTTCGAATTGTGTATCGATGGGGGACATACGAGAGAAGATTCCCCTTTATCTTACACAATCGATGCATGTGCCATGTTTTGGACTTGTTATTGGAGGATATTGGGAAGTTTGATTGGGTGTCTAAGATCGTAAATGACTGTGAGAAGATCGTGAAGTTCATAACTGAGAAGCCGATGTTACTTGCTTTATTTCGAAAGTTCTGCTCTAGAGAACTCATGAAGCCTGCAAAGACTCGATTCGCTTACATCTTTCTTATGGTCAGCCAGCTCCAGCATGAAGATGTTTTCCCGTGCCTTCGACGATTCATAGTGAGTGCAGAATTTGAATCGTCGAAGTGGTATAACACAAAGGATGCCAAAGATGTTCGTACAACAATTTTCAATGATGAATTTTGGAAGAATGCTTCTACTTTATTGGTTATGGTAGCTCCTATTTTGAAGGTGTTAAGTCTTGCCGATCGTGAGGGCGCAACAACAGGATTAATTTATGAAGCAATGTATCGTATGATTAAAGGATTGGAGCTTGCAGCTCAAGATGGCAAGCTTGATGTAGATAAAATTGATGCAATTAAGTGTGTCTTGGTTGAAGACCAATATAGACGGAGAGCTCGATGGTTTATGATGCATAGCTCTATGCACAGCGCTGTACATGCTTTGAATCCTTCATACCTTGAGCAAAACTTGGATGCTGAGGTAAGAAGTGATTGGATGGATTATTTATCACTCTATTGCTGTGGGGACACTCAACTAGAAGAGAAGTTAGATGAGTAATTCAATATGTTTCGACGAGGAATTGGAAGAGCTATCAATCGGGATTTGCCGAAGAGCAAAGTAAAAAGGAAATTCCCAGTGTCTTGGTGGGAATCCTATGGATATGAGATGCCTGAGCTTAGGAAGTTAGCACTTCGTGTGTTGAGCCAAGGAGTGTGCTCTTCTCCATGTGAGCGAAATTGGAGTAGTTGGAACTTGATCCAAACCAAACGATGCAATCGCTTGCTTCCAAAGAACTTGAAGAAGTTGGTTTATGTACACAGTAACACCAGAGTGGTGGATCGTATTGAAAGTGAAGGAATGAAGTTCCTAAAGATCGATCTCGACACAATTGCAATCGAACCACAATGGATGAGGATTGTAGAGATGCAAGCTAGGCTTGAATCTCTTGGTATAGAAGATTTAGCCGAAGAAGATCTTCCAAATGAAGATGTGATTGTTGAGGAAGATGCCAAAGATGTCAAGGGACTTGCCAAAGATGTTGAAGAAGATGAGTAGTAGTTGGTTTGGTTTGGTCTAATGCTTTGGTTTAGTTTGGTTTGGTTTGGTTTAATGCTTTGGTTTTACTACTTTTATTAATGTGGTTTTACTAAAAATATTTTTTTTTTCAAAAAAATTTTGTGAACCATTCGGCCGTTCGGCATTTTCACAGCCGGTCGATAACCACGGTCGGGCGGTCGGGCGGTCGGCGTTCGGAACGGTCGGGACTAACCATGAATCAGCCCCAAAACCGACAATTTCTCACAAACACATCAACATCGCCAAAGGAAAACGTCAACTGCTCGCCCTGAATTCAATTTCTCCACCAGCTGAGAACAACATTCTCAACGCCTCGACCTCCTTGACACGTTCCACAAAAGAAAACATTGACTACCTTCACCAATCACTTGAAGAACACACAACCATGCCTCCTCCAGCAAATACCACGACCAGCATTCACAAAAATTCCACCCCTTCAACAAAATTCCAAGCGAAAAATTTCCGAACGGATAAATTAATTTCAGCGCCACATCTGGGCTGTTCATCCACCATCAAACTGAAAGCTCATCTCCAACCACCTCAAAGAATCTGGCCCGACCACGTCACCCATATCCAACAAAGCAAACTCAACTCCCGGGACCAAGAACACAGCGAGAAACACTAGGATCACGGAGCAAGAGTAGGAGCAGCAGCTATGCCTCAGCCACAGAGTCAGGTAGGCCATGATTATGACGAGATCAGGAAGGAGTATGAAGATAAACTTCGCGACCCAAGCTACTACACCCGCAAGTTGTTTGAAGCCCTCGATCAACGCATGCACCGCGAGCAAGCAAACTACTTCCCAACACGAGCCGACATTGCACAGCATCTTCTCAAGCAAGACTCCTTCATATACACCCGGGGAGCGATCAAGAAGGAATTCTATGAGCCTTTAAACCACCAGCTGGAAGCTCAGCTCAAAGAGATGAAGCAGATCCGCACTGACCTCCAGGACATCAGGAAGATCGTCTCCAAGCAGCCATCAACCCCATCAGCAGCTCACGAATTCACCTACAAATTCAAATACGAAGAGCTCAACACCGGCTACTGAAAGCTCGAGGATGATCATACCGCCCTACTGGCTGAGGTAGCCGACCTCCAGGAAGATGGGACAGATCCACCAGACAGTGTCCCTAACCATGAGCTTACACTCCCGCAGCAAAAACGTCACCTCTATCGACTTGAGCAACAGCAACAACAAGCAATGGAAATTGACTATGTTCACACCGAGGATGGTGTCTAGTTCTGTCAGGGGAGTAGAGTGTATCAACCAAAAACCCAGGCTCAAGGGACTCCGACTTTGAACCCAGGGCTGCATCAGAGCCATAGATTAAATCATGCACACCATATAGTATATGCTAGCAGTTAGAACTACTAACCTTTCAAAAAGGGGAATCTGAATTGTGGATACCTATCGCCATTCCATTGTTTTTCTTATTAATACACAGCATTCTTTTTCTCGTGCTTCTTCTCCTGTGATCGGACGCGCAATCAGGCACATTTTATCCAGCGAAAAGGAGTTTTCACACCTCTTCACATCGCTTGGCAAAAATCGAAAGGTGGCAAAGGTGAGGAATGAAGCTCAAGACAGTCTCTTGTGCGTTCTTGAGCAATCTAGACAAGAGTATATACATACCGCTTTAAATCACAAAAGCAATGCTTGTGATGCTTGCTTTGCGAGGTATTGTTTGAAGGCTTGTCTTGGTTTGAGCCAGTCCGGATCATCCAGTCAAGCGCAGCAGACAAGCACTGCTCGGGTGAGGAACTTCCTTGTTGGAATGCGAGCAAAAGTGCAGAGCAGCGTATCGTTATCCAGGTCGCCCAATGGTGGCAGCGTCACCTCTGCTATCGCTGTCCTTGCGACATTTGCTATTTTGACGAAGCTTACCTGTAGTTAATGAATGGTTCCATCGCATTGTTCTTGACGACGAGGAGGAGACGCTGCTCTGATCGTCATAGATTCCTCGCGAATTTCATCATGGAAATGTATGGAAAGTGCGGGTGCGCCGTGGATGCCTTGGGTGTCCTCCACAAAATGGAAGATGGAAATGTTTTCTTCTGGAACGCATTTGCCCAGCAAATGCTCGTCGATCGAATTCTTGCAGCTATCAATGGCGATGTGGCGGAGATCCAGGTGAGAAACACATGGTGAGAAACACCAGGAACCTCGACTTAAGTTGGCAGAAGGCCCGCTCCAGGCCTGGTTGAAAGACTACTGCTGGAGGGTAAATCAACCACGGCCTTTGGAGGAGGCCATACCCCTGCTGTCTGATCTCCTCGCAATCCTGGAGCTGAGACAATAACACCGTCACCATCTTTGGCTTGTCGTTGTAGTAATTGGAGCTTGGGGCGGCGATTGGGATGTGGCGCCGATCAGGCTGGGATGCCAGTCTCGAGCTCACACGGCAATGCCCTGGTTCCACCCGATGCAAGTGTCTGTCCAGTTCTTGGCAGAAGAAGATCTCGGCGATGGCATGCTCGCCAACGGAGCACCGTAACGCGGCGATGATTAGCGCGTGGATCTCCCCCGGATCGGCATTGATAGCTGCCAAGAGAAATAACTGGATGCTCGAAAAAGAGTAACAAGGGCAAATGCCGCGATCGCAATCTTCCACGAGAAAGAACCTCGATCTTTCATCTTCTGGAAGATTTCCAGCGCCCGCACTTTCCATACCTTTCTATGCCCTCTTTGACAAGAAACTCCAATCTACCAGCCCCTTCATCAACGGAACGCCCTCAACAGCTTCATTGGCGAACTCCATCTCCGAGCACAAGACCACCCACTCCAAGCTCGAGACCTCAA